CCCCGGCGGCCCCCCTCCCAGCTGGGGCTCCCCCCCAGCTGAGTGGCAGGAGCTTCTGAAGGGGAATCCGCCGCCGCCGCTCAGCTGGGGGAAAATGCCGGTGGTGGCTTCAGAAGGACCGCCGGGGAGGGCTTCCCGGTGGTCCTTCCAAAGACACCACCGGCAATTTCCCCCAGCTGAGCGGTGAGAGCCAGTCAGCTGGGGAAAAATGGGCTATGGGGGAAAATCGCAAAGCGATTTTTCCCCATAAGCAACATCGCAATGCGATCGCAAAAGCGATCGCAAAAGAGGCATCGGTATGTGGATTCGTCGTTAAACGGGGCACCCGTTAAGCGAGGCACCACTGTATTACTACAGATAGGGTTACTCTCTGTTCTTTGTATTTTGCTTATAAAGGGCACAGTGACTCAAATGGAATATGCATGGGGGAATTAAATCTGATTTAAGATGTTTTAAGCCCATACCATGGACTCTTGGATCAGGTCTTCCAGTTTATGAATACTGCTGGATCGATCACAACTGTATTTTCGATGTACAGCATCTCTTAAATTCTTCAAGTATTCTGCAGCCTCTTTGGCATCATTGAAAAACTAGAATGAAAAGCATAATTCTGTTTTTAAAACAAAGAAGCAAAACACCATCACAGACCCTGTCCTTATGAGCAGCCAGTACAATACTTTTGAAGTTCAGGGCAGCTAGATTCAGAGTGTGGAGTAAGACTTCTAGACTTCTGCATCAGAGGTCTTAAATGAACTCACAGGTGAAAGGGTCAGAAATTTCATCACTGTGGAGTTCTGTAAGTCATGCAGAAATACAGTCCATTCATTCTCAATTGTCAAAATAAAATGACAATACATATGAAAGGCAGCATGGCTTTCTCTGGTTTGAGCAGAACTAGGGGCAAGATGTATGTGGAGTCAATATTTAAAATGAAAATGGCCATGGACTGTTTTCACAAAAATGTAATTTCAGTGGGAAAAGGAACCTAGTGCACTGGTCCATCTAAACCTCATAAATATACTGGAGAGAAAGAGAGAAAAAAGAATTTGAACTCATACACTAAGAAACACAATAGTGAACTGGACATAAACATTATTTTTTTCATCACAACTGCACTTCTTCTAGTCAACCACAGCACTACAGACAACAAATCCTGTGAGTTTTGATCACTATGGTCTGTTTCAGTTTCTATAGCACTATCTGCCAACACTAAGGAATGCTGACAAACCCTTTCTCTCATTTATGACACTGAAATGGAAATATGTGGTTTTCTATACAGTGGGGTCTTGACTTGAGAGCTTAATCTGTATTGGAAGGCGGTTCTCAAGTCAAAAAGTCTGTAGGTCAAGTCTCCATTGACCTACAGTGCATTAAAAACCCATTAATCCCGTAACAGGCCGTTTTTGTTCCATTTTGGTTTTTTTCTGGTCTGTAAGTCAATTCTCAGGCTGTAAGTCAAACCTAAATTTTGCGGCCAGAGAAGTCTGTAACTCAAAAAGTCTGTAAGTCAAGCCGTCTGTAAGTCAAGGGTCCACTGTACTTAAATTTGTGATACATACCTCAAAATATGCAATGTTTTCTCTTAGATGCTGTTCAACACATTGGCAAAGCTGTAAAATCCAGCTCCACTGTGTTTGCATTGCAGCTCGATAAGCCTTAAGGATGCAGACAAAGGAAAGGAGTCACATTTAGTTATAAAACCACAATGAAAACAGAAAAAAAGAAAACAAATGTTACCTCCACTCAGATCTCCTTGGTTTGCCAACCAAAATGCCTTTGCCTCATTGCAATGGAAGAAAATGACATAATGGCCAGATTTCTGCTGTACAGAAGCATCTGATGGCATTATTTGTTGCATATTGGTGTGCAAGAGATAATGCCTACAGAGATTTCTTAATGTATGGCAATTCACCTTCAAAAGTGATAGCATGCCTTTTGCAAGACAGAAGTGAAATTTATTTCTCAATAACAACTGATTATTAAGAAGTGATTTGTCAAATCAGGTGTGATTCAAAAAACACATTTGTTGTATTCCTGCCGTGTTAACACTGTAATATTTTTGGCCAGCAGAGGCTGCTCTCAACACTGTAAATTCAAAATCCCATTCAGAGAACAAACCATCTCCTACTGAATTTAATGGGCTAAATCCATAATTAGTTCCAAATGGAGTGACTCACTGTTATCAGCGGGAACTGGTTAACAGAAAGTGGTCCTACTCATTTTAACATATCTACCTTTCTTGGAACTAACATGAGATTTTGCCCAATGAATGCCCTGTCCTTGGTAAGAGTATCAATGAAATTTACAAAATACCATTCAGATACTGGAATGAATCCACAAGAAACAGAAAGCATCTACCTAGCCTTTGGCAACATCAATCTTAAACAGCTTTTACCAATTTTAAATCAAAATATTGTAAGGTTGATCTTTCATACAGCTGCAGAACCAACAACCTCATTATCTAATAGGGAAGTCTGAGCACACCTGTGGCAGCCAGCATACATTTTTAAAGTAAAGCAGATTACCTACAATATACTACTTGATCCCCATCCAAGATAAACCTAATGTCCAAACAATATCTGAAGTTTATGAGTAAGAACATGTGGCTGAACTTCACACCCTTAAAAGGAAGCACTGTATTGAAACCTTTACAAGTGGAAACTCCCTGAAAATCCCTTTAGACAAACACATCAAAACTACTGTCCTGTCACAGGACGCAATTGCCAGTGTTGCTGTAATATTTCTGGGAACTGAGGTACTGGAGTCCAATCTTGCACGCCTCCAAGCATTAAACAACAATGGAAAACAGGCAAAGGCAGTGAGGGAGAGGAATCGATTGAAGTTTCCTAAATGGGAGCAGGGCTGATTGGCTGGCACTCTGGAGAGGAAGAGTTCACACCACAACATTTGTTGCAGGACCTATTTGTTTTGTGGTATTAGCAACCTGTTGGGCCTTAAACAGTTAAAAAATATGCCATGGTATCAGCTTTTGTGGACACTTCAGCAGATTCATGTTATGTTAAGCTGAAAGATATATATGCAGATGAGTATGGCAAGTTTGTATACGGTAAACAGTGAGGGCCAAATGGACAGGAATCGCAGCACACATATCACACATTTGAGCACAGCCCAAATATACACAGTATGCCAATTCTTATTGAGCATCTTCTGAACGTATCTCATGGGGCAAGAGAAGAGAACCATAGACTTAAGTCTACATGCTCTCAATATCCTAAAAAGAAAGTCTTGAAAGACTGTCAAATCATGTATGTTCCTGTTATTTAGTCACACAAAACTTACCTCAATAGTTAATCTTGCAGGGTGGTTTTCGAAGAGCAGCTGTTCTGCTATTTCTTGGACTGATTTAATAACTTCTTCCTTCTGATCCAATTCTCTCATCAGTTCCTTTCCAATAAAAAGATGTTAGTTTAGAAGCATATCAGAAAAAAATACATTTAAAAGTTTTAAATATATATTAACAATGCTTACTGCATGGTACTCCTTTTTCCTTGCTATATTTGTGTTTCTTTCACTCCAGTCATATGCAACCTCCTCCTCCTCTTTCTCATTCAACCAAATAAGTTCCCTGGTAGCACGTGATACAAAATTGTGAAGGGTATCAAGGTGTCTTTCCTGATTTCTTGATGTATTCTTTAAATGTCAATAAAAGAAAAAAATAACTTTAAACCTTTCACAATCAAGACGTCACACAACTAAAAGCTGGACCTCCAGGCAATGATCTTACCAAGAGTTTTGCATATTGGCTTTCCAGTTTGTGCAATTTTTCTGCATAGCTGAGTTTAAGGGGAGCAGTCATTTGGATCTGTACAGAACACATTCAGTTGAAAGAGAGAAATTAGTTTAAAAATCAGGCATGTAACAGTTAAAATAGGGGTGATATATTTCATTATATTTGAGTAATGATCACAACGAAGAATGTTCCTGTAATCCAAGGACAATTATGAAACCAGTTATTATCCGATGAGTAATTCATTTCAAAACACATGCATAATAATATGTAACCACAAGGTACTTAAAAAAAAAGCTGTACCTCGCTGACTTTTGCTTCTTTAAGGCTTGACTCAAATTCTTCAATTGCTTTGTGAACATTCTTGTGATTTTCCACATGGCTTTCAACACTTGGCAAATCCGAACCCCATTCAACTCGATCAAGTTGTACCTTGTAGGCAGAAACTTAAAATTAAATCTGAACCCCAAACCTGTCAAGAAAAATGATTAGGCTAAAAACCGTAAATGGAAAGATGTTTACCTGCATTTCATCAACCCATCTTAAGAGGTCCTGAACAAATTTCATATTGACTTCCTCCTCCGTCAAATTCTGATCAATAAATGCTGATTTCATCAAGGGTTTTCGGACCTGCATCAGTTTGAGTGTCTGAAGTGTACCAGTGTCAACTCCAGTTACATAACTTTGAATTAACCGTGGTGGAAAACCTGGTGTGTATGCAGGGGTGATGGCTGGAGTCAGTCTTGAAGAAAGACCTGATGATAAACCTGATGTTAAACTGGATGAAGTCAAGGAGGGTGATAAGCCCTGGTTCAGTCCAGAGTTTAAACTAGGGCTTAGGTTTGGTGCAAATCCTGAGTTTAAGCTTTGTGTTATTCCTGATATCATCATCTTGGTCTGTTCTGTCGTCAGTGTCCTTCCCTTGCTGTAGATAGAGGAACAATCTGCTCTTAAGGCCATAAGCTCATCTCGAAGTTTTGCAACCCTGTTTTTAAAATGTGGAAAAATATTTATTACTAAAATGAGAACAACTCTGTGTGTCTGTCTGTCTGTGTGTAAATAAAAACAGACACACACATACACACCTCTTAAGTGTTCTACAATGGAGTGGCAGCTAGGATATACATTATAATAAAAAGGACTTAAGTAAAAACAAAAGACTAGTGACTCAAAAAATGGAAAGAAGATCAAAATTCATGTGGAAAAATATTTATTACTAAAATGAGAACAACTCTGTGTGTCTGTCTGTCTGTGTGTAAATAAAAACAGACACACACATACACACCTCTTAAGTGTTCTACAATGGAGTGGCAGCTAGGATATACATTATAATAAAAAGGACTTAAGTAAAAACAAAAGACTAGTGACTCAAAAAATGGAAAGAAGATCAAAATTCAATTCAATAATAATAATAATAATAATAATAATAATAATAATAATAATAATAATTTATTGTCATTGTAAGTATATACACATACAACGAAATGTACCCTTAAAAAACAAAATGTAAGAAACAAAGTAATTCCTCACTATTATACCACATTTAGAGCACAATCCAGTACATATCTACTCAGAACTAAGCCCCACTATTTTCAAAGGAACTTATTCTCAAGTTTTGCACACATGATATGACTGCTGCCTTTTACTCCCACTTCTGTCTTCTAATTGCCTCAGATTCATCTTTCTCTTATGCCTCTTTACTATCCCTAAGGATTCATTTACAAAGAGAATGTCTCTTATCAACCAGATTCTACACAGGTATACCATCCACTTCCCAGCAGTGATGTCTAAAATCATGTTACGAACCAGTGAATCCATTATAATAACATGAATACCTAGGACTGCACCTCAGTTGCTGTCTCTGCACAAAGTGCAGTTTTTGTAAGTCATGTGAATGCATCTTTGGGAAGTAGGCAAGACAAACACAACTCTATGAACTGGCCTATGTCATATCAATGTCAATGAGATACATTTTTGAAAAATGTGTTCTGCATTCTAAACTTTTTTCTACCTAGTAGCAGTAAAGTGTTCATATCAATACAGTGGTGCCTCGCACAACGAGGTTCTACCTAGTAGCAGTATAGTGTTCATATCAATACTATCTTATACTTTACAAAAATAAAATAAAAAAACAAATAACTAGCAATACCTCAATAGGTCACCTTAATAGACAGAAGGCTAAAAACATTGATTCTGAACAGTAAATCATGCTAATGCACTGATCACACAACACTGCATGTTGCAAAGAATCAGTGTTCTATACGTAATATTGCATAAACATCTGAGACCACGCCCTCCCTCCCTCAGATTAAAATCTATCTTCCTAATCAAGACAAATCAAGCTACATTAGAGCATATGAAATGTTATACATACATAGGCATCATTTTGAAGTTAGTGTAATCTTTAAAAAACGGCAGATACACCCAACAGGTAACTTTATTATGTCTTTACACATTCATTGACAAGAATGTATCCCTGAGTGTTGTATTCCTAAATAACAACATAACCACATGTACCTCTGGACCAGTTGGTCTGCTTGATAATATTTTCCATCAATGAGAATCTGGGCATCCATGACTTGCTGGCGCAGTAAATTCTCACATTCAAGTAGATAACCCGCAATCTCTGCTTCATTTTGAAACTGCAGACCTGATTCTAATCGCTTTGCATCCTACACAAAAAGATGTATTCAGTTGTGCATTTTGCTGGAAAATAAACTTTTCCTATGCTACTTTATTTTGTACAACTATCTTCATATTTTGAAATGTACAAACATTCCTTTTATATTCAGAATTGTTGTATGGTGCTTCTCTGTGAGTTCAGAGAGAAACCCAATTGAGAGGATGGGAAATAAACACTTTGAGATAACTTTACCTAGGACTGCACCTTAAATAGTGTTCTATTCATTTAGATTCTGCATCAGAGATATATGCAATCAATTTTAAAAATATATATACTATATATAAGAGACCAAGCTAAAATGTTCCATTGACTAGTTCAGCTTCTTCTTTTTTCAGTAAGACAGTATGTTCCCAGGTCAGGCACTAGAAATAAAGGGAATAGTTCTACAAATTTCAAGTGTGGTGACTGCATACATCTGTTGCACAAAAATAAGAAGGGGTCTTGTATCATCCCACAAAAATTATGTATTATTGTGTACAACCATTGTGGACACTTTAATGTATCTGCACCAGAGTGTCGTTGAATGGGGCAGCATCCACAGACATTTGTGCTGTAATACAATTTGTTAACATTTAAAGCTTCATAAGAGTGTTTGCTGGAATCCTACAAAGGATGAAGACAGAGCACATTCACAAGAAAGTGATGTCTGTTGTCTATCTATAAGGCGGCCCCCTGTTTCAAATGTTCCAATATTTTTCTACTAGAAATATTCTGAAGTCTGAACAGCTACAGCCATCTATATGAATATGGTGTGGAATGGGCTGTTTCAAGGTTTTTATTAAGATGATTGTTCCTGAAATAGATAGAAAAGGTATAAGGGTTTTCCCAGCATGTGCCCTGCAAGAGTAAAACTATGGTTGTAGGTTTTCCGGGCTGTTTGGCCATGATACAGAACACAGCCAAACAGCCTGGAAAACCTATAACAACAATCTGGATCCTGGCTTTTGAAAACCATGGCGTTTACGTTCTATAATTTATTACATTGCTGGACTCTGTTTATTGTGACAGGTCCGCCAGGCCTTCTGTTTGCTGGTGACTCTAGCTCTAAATAAAAGTGTAACTGAAACAATTATTTGTTTCACAATGACAGCTGAAAGCAGATTTTATTCACCTCCCAAAAGTAATTTCTGCAGGTTTGGAGGCTTGAGGGAAACCATAAAAAGAAAGCTTGCTGACAACTTTCCAGGCTATCTTGGCACAGCTCCCTTTAACCATAAGATGGCAGCTAAGCCACAACAGGTTTGAAGACTATTGTGAGGGAGTTTCCAACAGAAAAGTAAATTAGCCAGTCTTAAGATTTTATCCTGAATATATTTTAAAAATACTCTAAAATTCCAAGGCCTTAACTTGGATGACACCACTTGTAAACATAAACACACATTTAGTCATTTTGTATATACCCATCCTGTACGAAAGATGTCATCTTCCTGAGAATTCTCTCCCGTCTCAGAACTCACAGGTTAAGGATGGACAAAAATTTGAAAGGGTGGTGTAAATCTTATGGGCATATGTTCTTTGTTTCAAAAACAATGCCGTGAACACATTTTGAACAATTTCCATCACACTACAGAAGGACTCCTGTCATTTTTCCAGTGCTTCATTTGAAATGAATTTCCTGTGTTACTGACAAAGAAAGATGCTGAAAAACTCAATGAGGTAGTTTGAAACCAATGGCAAATATCTTGTACCCTAACTACAAAGTGGAAGAGAAATCACAAAATTGCCTTCCTCACGCCAGAAGACTCCTTATTGTGTGCTTACTGTGACATTGGTTGTGAGATCAGTTACATGACAAACAGCCTGCTGGAGTTGAGAGGATGCTTATATGATTTCCATTTCACTCAGTTTTTAGGCAACAAGACATGAACATATCTGTTCAATCAGCTACTAATTAACATGAGTTTCTGCTCTCTCATTCCATTTTACATTCATCAAAATACACTGCATATATTTCTAAGATATCCCAGAATTTTTTTTTTCACAAACAGAAGTATTCTTCTTGATTTTGCAACATTTCTGACAGGCACTGTAATAATTCTTGTCTTACACACAAAGATCTGAGACCAACGGATTGGTCTTAGACATCTGCTTAGTGTCTTAGCTGACCCAAGATTTTGCAGGGCTACCTCCATTCCTTTAACCAAGGATATACCCGGATTTGCAGTAAGGAAAAAAATGAAAGAACCCATCTAATCAAATACACTTACTGATTGCACAGAATTTCGAGCCAGTATTAGTTTGTCTTCACAGCTCAGGCTGTCTCGCTGCACTCTGTTTGCAATCTGCTGCAGCATTTCTAACCTAAAAGAAAATGCAACCAAAGTCATGTTTGTTTCTTTCTGTTTTTGACCTTCAAATAACATGATTGTCTTCATTCTATTACCAAATAAAAATGATATCACATCCTGCAACTTAATGCCAATGCTTACCTGGCTCCTTCCACGGGACCATTTCCAAAACTTATACAAGAATTAACTAAGGTCGGACCACAGTTAACGGACAGGAAGTTTTCATTGGAATCAATGCTGGTCCGGGTGCTAGTGCTGTTGCTGAACAGAGAGTCGCTGCTGTGGTAGCCATAACTGTTAGCGTTCATTTTGTTCTAGCCAATAATTGTTCCCTTGTCCATTTAAAACATTGAAAAGGCAAATTGCTTGCAAAAATATACAGCTTCAAAGGTCTTTATAGTTCTAAGGGCAGCTCAGATTTTGCATCCTTAAATAGGTCTCAGCATGCATGTTCAGAATCTGCAAAAAAAAAGTACTCTGATTCTTCTTCAGAGGCTTTGCCTTCAGCTATATATGCCAATCTGGGCTTGGCTTCTTTAGCTTGAATTGACTGTACACAAGTATGGACTAATCAGGATGACTAGGGCGTTCACTAGGAATGAGAAGTGCCAAATACTTTATGTAAGTCTCATCCAATCTCAGTGATCTCAGTGATCCAAGGAGGAGTGGGGAGTGGGCTGTTCTTTTACAACTCTGAAAACTTTTAATTAAAAAAATTAAAGTGGCGTCAACAAAAGTGTATCTGATATAACAGTGTATTTTCTGGAGTAAAAAATTGCATTCTACTCATTAGCTGCTTTTACACCGGGGTCTCAGCAGTCTCCCGTCTAGATATCTATTTAATTCCAGCAACACTATAGCATCTGGTGCTTCCATATGGTTCATTTGGCTCCCATGGTAAAAATTTATTGTTGTTGTTTAGTCGTTAAGTCATGTCCGATTCTTGGTGACCCCATGGACCAGAGCAAAACAGGCCCTCCTGTCTTTCAGTGCCGCCTGGGGTTTGGTCAAATTCATGTTGGTAGATTCATTGTCCAACCATCTTGTCCTCTGTCGTCGCCTTCTCCTCTTGCCTTCACACTTTCCTAACATCAGGGTCTTTTCCAGGGAGTTTTTTCTTCTCATGAGATGGCCAAAGTATTGGAGCCTCAGCTTTAGGATCTGTCCTTCCAGTGAGCACTCAGGGTTGATTTCCTTCAGAATGAATAGGTTTGTTCTCTTTGCAGTCCAGGGGACTCTAAAGAGCCTCCTCCACCACAATTCAAAAGCATCAATTCTTTGGCGGTCAGCCTTCTTTATGGTCCAGCTCTTGCTTCCATACATTGCTACTGGAAAAAATATAGCTTTGACTATGCAGACCTTTGTCGGCAAGGTGATGTCTCTGCTTTTTAAGATGCTGTCTAGGATTGTCATCGCTTTCCTCCCAAGCAGCAGGCGCCTTTTAATTTCGTGGCTGCTGTCACCATCTGCAGTGATCATGGAGCCCAAAAAAGTAAAATTTGTCACTATCTCCATATCCTCCCCTTCTATTTGCCAGGAGGTGATGGGACCAGTGAACTCCAAGTCCAAACCTACCTGTTGTTCCTTTTATCTCTTGACTCCCTACTTTAGCATTCCAATCTGCTATAATGACAAGAACATCTTCCTTTGGTGTCAGTTCTAGAAGGTGTTATAAGTCTTCATAGAATAGGTCAATTTCAGCCTTTTCAGCATCAGTGGTTGGTGCATAAACTTGGATTACTGTGATGTTGAAAGGTCTGCCTTGGATTCATATTGAAATCACTCTATCATTTTTGAGATTGTATCCCAGTACAGCTTTTCCCACTCTTTTGTTGACTATCAGGGCTACTCCATTTCTTCTACGGGATTCTTGCCCACAATAGTAGATATGATAATTGTCTGAATTGAATTCGCCCATTTCTGTCCATTTTAGTTCACTGACACCCAGGATGTCAATGTTTATTCTTGCCATCTCCTCTTTGACCACATCCAGCTTACCAAGCTTCATAGATCTCACATTCCAGGTTCCTATGCAGTATTCTTCTTTGCAGCATCGAACTTTCCTTTCACGTCCATGCACGTCCGCAGCTGAGCGTCCTTTCAGCTTTGGCACAACCGCTTCATTAGCTCTGGAGCTACATGTACTTGTCCTCCACTCTTCCTCAGTAGCATGATGGAAGCCTTCCGACCTGAGGGGCTCATCTTCCAGTGTCATATCTTTTAGCCTTTTGTTTCTGTTCATGGAGTTTTCTTGGCAAAGATACTGGAGTGACTTGCCAGTTTCTGCTCCTGGTGGATCACATTTAGTCAGAATTCTCCACTATGATCTGTCTGTCTTGTGCGTCCCTGCACAGCATAGCCCATAGCTTCTCTGAGTTACTCAAGCCCCTTTGCCACGACAAGGCAGCAATCCGTGAAGGGGAAAAAACTTATACACCAACTACTAAACTACACACAGACACCACATCCTACTTAAATGGTGTCTAATTAAGCTGTGTGTGTTTCACATTAGCAATCACAAAAAACTAATCGTCAAGTGATTTCCTCGTCTAACTAGTATAGTATAGTACATAGATCGGGGAACAGGGGTAAATTACCCCAAATTGGGTAAAAGTGAAAATCTTGGGGGTAATGAGCCACCTCTCCCTGTTACTTCCTTCGTTGCAGCAGGGCACTCGTAAATCCTCCCTTCTTTTAGAAATCGGAGATAAGCCTCCCTAATTGGTTACAGCTGGGGATTAGCCCTGAGCAATCAATCAATCCGGGGCTTCTGAATGACTGCTTCCTCCGAAAATGACTGCAAACAAGCAGGAGGAGGGAGAGGATCACGGAGCAAGCAAGGGAAAGGAGGGAAGAAAGGTGCGAGAGACCGAAGACTTCTTCAAGCTTATTTAAATGTACAAAATGGAGGGAGAAAATGGAGGGAGGGAGGAAATGGAGGGAGGGTGGGTGGATGGATGGATGTGTGTGTGAGAGAGAGAGTGAGAGTGAGAGAGACTGACTCAAAACTGTGAAAATGAACAGGCAAGCAAGAGAAACTTTGAATTAAGGCGCGGGGGAGGGAAGGGTGACTTTTTAAGGTGCTGTCTAGGTTTATCATTGCTTTCCTTCCAAGAAGCAGCCATCTTTGAATCTCATGGATGTTGTCACCCTCTGCAGTGATCAAGAAAGTAAAATCTGTCACTGCCTCCATATCTTCCCCTTATATTTGCCAGGAGGTGATGGGACCAGTGGCCATAATCTTAGTTGTTTTGATGTTGAGCTTCAGACCATTTTTGCACTCTCCTCTTCACCCTCATTAAGAGGTTCTTTAAGTCCTCCTCACTTTCTGCCATGTTTTTGCGCAGTCAATGAAGCAGAAGTAGATGTTTTTCTGGAACTCTCTGGCTTTCTCCATAATCCAGCACATGTTAGCAATTTGGTCTCTAGTTCCTCTGCCTCTTCGAAATCCAGCTTGTACTTCTGGGAGTTCTTAGTCCACATACTGCTGAAGCCTGCCTTGTAGGATTTTGAGCATAACCTTGCTAGCATGTGAAACGAGTGAAATTGTATGGTAGTTAGAGCATTCTTTGGCACTTCCCTTCTTTGGGATTGGGATGTAGACTGATCTTTTCCAATCCTCTGGCCACTGCTGGCCATTGATGATGATAAAAGCACACTGGTCCTTTGATACTGGGCTGGGGCACCAGGGTGGGTGACATGACCTTTAGACTGGTTTGTTCCTTTTTGCACACCACACATAAAATGATTAAAGTGGTAGGGAAAGCCCCCCCCCCCCATTCTGCGTTGGCTGCCTCTGCGAGCTAGCAAAAAATTAATGCAACTTGCTAGGCACGTTGGACACCTTACTACTCCCTATATCACACCATGGGTGGAGTGCAATGTGTTCCAGCAAAAATAGTGCGCATCTTTATCAAATTTGGTGCATTCTGCTAGTTCGGCGTATATAATTTTTTTTGGGGGGGGGGAAAAGGTAAAAATGTTCCCTGACCCCTGGTATAGTATATACAGTATATATACAGTATATTATAAAATTTTGCATATCACAGCACAAACTGACTTTAGGACCTAGTTTTTGTGACGTCAGAAATTTCTGAGTGGCCCAATACAAGAGGGGGAGATTTAAAGATTTCTAGTACGCACAAAATCCCTTGAAGAACAGCATATTTTCCAACACAGCTTTTAGCATTTCCTGTCAATAGTATATACAGTATATATACAGTATATTATAAAATTTTGCATATCACAGCACAAACTGACTTTAGGACCTAGTTTTTGTGACGTCAGAAATTTCTGAGTGGCCCAATACAAGAGGGGGAGATTTAAAGATTTCTAGTACGCACAAAATCCCTTGAAGAACAGCATATTTTCCAACACAGCTTTTAGCATTTCCTGTCATAATTTAGGGTTCCTTTAGGAAAAGAGCACTCTTACAACATTCAAATAGTGTGATGAAGTCTTTGTTTAAGGGTTTTATCACAATGAAAAGCAGCTTGAAAAGGTAGACCCATGACTTATACGAATAGCAGAAAGCAACTGCTTATCAGAAAAGTCGATTTTATGTAAGACTTAACTAGCACCAACAGCATACAGTAATCTGCTTCTTCTGTGACAGTATTAGACCAGATTGATTCCTAGTCTTAAGGGCTGGCATTTTCCCCTTTCCCCACCACAAAGATAGGCAAACATAATATTTTTAAAAACTTCCCTCAATCACCATTGAAATCTCTGTGCAGCAACAACAGATATAAAACTGTGATTAAGGATGGATAAGAAGGGAACTGTAAGTCAGAACTGACTTGATGGTGTGCATGCATGCACACACACACACACACACACACACACACACACACACACACACACACAAACATGCACACACATTCTTTTTAACCTGTGCTGTTTTTACCAACCAGAAGAAATACTTGAAAGCAAAACTTAAGTTGTTTCCCATAAAAAAGTACTACACATTGCAGACAAGGCAAAGAAATGGGGCCATGGACATGTCAAAGGCAAGTTGAAGCCTAATGATCAAGTTACACACAGGATGGGCAGCACCCCAAATGCCTACTGAAGGGAAGGAGGTTCTTTGACTGCTATCTAAAGAGAAGACACGACACAATGAAACAAAAACCCCAATATCAATGTACAACAGGCCTTTTGTTCTGCCTTTTAAGGCTCAAGGCAAGGCTGGGAAAACAGAGGCATTTTGCAGCATCAGACTTATATGCATTGAAGACAGACAAGCAGATCAGAACAAAAATGAATCACTGAAAAACTGGGATTCTTCTTTCTTTGGAAGATATAAGAAGGGCAGTTAACTGGAGGAATGTTAGGAAGAACACGATTGGAGGGGCAAAGTAACTGCAAATTAATTTTGCAGGAAATTCATTGGGAAAATGATGGACAAAGGGGAAGAGGAAACTACAGTATTATCAGTCTTATAAGATTCAAGCAATCCCCACAGCTTTCATTCATACTTTTTCAAAGAACAGATGATCCAGCCTTCAGATTCCATGTATCTTGGCTTATTTGGCCCTAATACTCAGAAATATATCTACTCACAACAGAAAACCGTATTTTCGCTCCATAAGACGCACCTCTCCATAAGACACACCAAATTTTTAGGAGAAGAAAACGGAAAAATTTATCTGTTTTATTCTCCTAAAAATTTGGTGAGCCTTATGGAGAGGTCCGTCTTATGGAACACACCCTAGCCCTCTCTGGCCCTGTGGGGGGGCCAGAGGAGGCAAAATCGCCACCTTCAGGGACTCTTCTGAAGCCTCCCAAACCTCAAGAGAGTCCCAGAAGGTGGCGATTTCACCCCCTCCGGGCCCGTGGGGGGTGGGGGTGGGGGGAGCCTCACAATGGCCCTGGAAGGCAGACTCGGACCCTTGGGAGGCTCCCACACCCCCGGGGGCCAGAGGGAGCAAAATCGCCACCTTCAGGGACTCTTCTGGAGCTTCCCAAACCTCAAAAGAGTCCCAGAAGGTGGTGATTTTGCCCCCTCTGGCCCCGTGGGGGGTAGGGGGGAGCATCACAAGGGTCCTGGAAGGCTCAATCGGACCCTTGCAATGCTCCCCCCACCCTCCACGGGGCCAGCGTGGGCGAAATCGCCAGCTTCCAGGACCTTTTGTGAGGCTTGAAAGGCTCAGAAAAGGTCCTGGAAGCTGGTGATTTCGCCCCTGCTGGCCCCGTGGGGGAGCCCTGCAAGGGTCCTGGAAGGCTCACTCAGACCCTTGGGAGGCTCCCCCCAAAGGGGCCAGTGGGAGCGAAATCACCACCTTCGCTCCATAAGACGCACAGACTCCCCCTCCACTTTTTTGGGGGGGGGCAAAGTGTATCATATGGAGCAAAAAATATGGTAATTCTCCTAAATTATCATGGCTAACAAGAGGGGCTTCCCTGGGGTGAGCTCAAAGGGGAAGGATAAGACTGGTGAGTGGAATCAAGTGACAGGTTGGGTGGGTCTTGTGGCTCCACTTGTTTGAGAGCAATTAATTTATTGTTTATCCACAGTAAACCATAATTCAAAAACACTGAAGTAACTGCATTATGGAAAAATTAAATAGCCACTGGCTGTTCACTATGCAACACCCAGCAAAGAACCCTCCAATCCTTGCAACATCTCTGGCCTGGAAAATTTCTTCAAATAATATAATGAAAGAATAGCCTGGATTAAGGCATACGTCTTTTAAAGACGGGAAATTTTTGACTGTAAGAAATAAAACGTTCAAAAGATATTCTAGCACTGAAATGTGTGTGTGTGTGTGTGGATTATTTTTAACCTGCCTTTCTCCTTAAAAAAGACCCAAGGTGGCTTACAACTATTAAAAGACACCATCTAAGTAACAATGAGTATACAACACTAAAAGGATCACAAGCAACAGCAAAATATATTCAATGCACTAAGATACAACAATCCATTTTTAAAAACCACACTCAGCCATCATATATGAAGGCAATAAAACTGTTACATATTAGCTATGTTGCTCTTAACTTTGCATACAGCCCTTGATAATAATGTAAGTAGGTTTAGAGAATTTACTCAGTTTTAAAAAATACTGATCACAAGCAGGCTTTATTTAGCAAATTAATCTGAAGCAACTGTGCCCAAGGTTGGTTTTAACCAGTTAATCTAAAGTGTCTATGTTTATACTGCAGAACATTGCACTGGTCATTTTCAGAGGAATTTGCAAAGAAGCATCTTATAAATTGAATATAAATAAATTGAATAAATAAATAAATAAAAAATAAATAAAACACCCACATACCTTTCAACTTCAGGTCGAAGCATTTTCTCTCTTTCCAACATAGCAATAATAAGTTTCCCCCATTCTTTCTCTATGTCATTTGGATGATAACCTTGAGGAAGTTTGATACGCCCAAATTCTATCCAAACCTTCAAAAACAAGGAATGCTTGCATAAAACTAAGATCAAAAGGAATAGATCTAACATACAATAATGCATAAAAATATGCATGGCTTACCTCCAGTAATTTATATAAATGTTTGATTTTTGATTTATCTATCTCCTTTGGTGGAATTTCTGTTTCTTTAAATTGTAAATACTGGTTATAAAGTGCCTGAAGAAAAGCAAACAAACAATGTCATTGTGTTTCTAAACATAGACTCACTATTTACTCAGAATTTTTGATCCAGTAAAGTTTATAAGAAACTTTTCATGCCCATCCATGTGAAACAGTCTTGCGGTCATTTACTCACTGTCTGTCATAACAAGGCCCTTGTTGAGGAAGAGAACAACACTGTCAGTTTCCTATTTAGCCTTCACTTAGCATCTCCATGACTTATGTCCAAAAGCAAACATTTACTATTCTAAGCACAGATGTTCATGGCTGAAATTTGCAGAGTTGCTCCTAGAGCTACACAGAACTCAGTTTAATTTCTTTCTTGTGAATGGATGAAGAGTCAAATCCAATAACTTTGTGTTAATTGTGGCAATGGTTTGCGCAACCTCGGATAATGTTTCATTCTTTTGCCTCCAAGCTAGGGAGATTCCCTGTATTGCTCAATACTTGCAAAATGCATGGTAAAGGAATGTTGCGATTCCTTTCCAAGTTTCTCATGGCTACAAGACCACTATGTTTGTGTGCAATTGACCAAGAAACCCATCTTTTCATTGTTATGAAAGTAAAAATAACTTGATCAAGGGTCATCCTTTGTGTCTGTAAATGTGCATCATTGTGTACTCCACGGCATAAAGCTATTTTGGTGGAAGGCTAGCATTACAGATAGAAGCAAGTCTTGCCTCTGGCATGCTACCTTTTAATGCACAAGGTGTTTTCACATTGGAAAGCATTCAAGAATGCAAATGCACCATCACCAACATTCCCAAAAGGACTGCATCACACAATTCTCATAAACTGGCTCCTAGCCATATGAGATGTGGGACCAAGTACTGGTGAAAGAGTGACTGGCAGCCTTTAGGAAAAAATAACGGAGTCTTCTGAATCCAACACACAGGATTTGGGATCAGTTTACAGTGGGGTCTCTACTTAAGAACTTAATCCGTATTGGAAGGCGGTTCTCAAGATGAAAAGTTCTTATGTCGAATCTGCATTTCCCATAGGAATGCATTGAAAACCATTTAATCCGTATCTGCTCTTTTCCGTCCATAGAAACTACAATGGAATCTCTACTTAAGAACTTGATCCGTATTGGAATGGTGTTCTTAAGTTGAAACATTCTTAAGTTGAAGCAAAATTTCCCATAGGAATGCACTGAAAACCGATTAATCCGTTCCGGCTGTTTTTTGTCCTTATGTACAGGCACGTTTGTACGCTGAAGCATTAGTTCCCATAGGAACTAATGCAAAGCCGGTTAATCCGTACTCTACCACTAGGGGGAGAAATTTTTTTAAATCTAAGAGATCTGCCTAAAATGACCTAAGGTTAAAAAAAGGGCAGGAAAGTTTTTTCCCCCGTTCTTATCTTGGAGCTCCGTTCTCAAGTAGAAGCAAAATTTAGTGAACGGAGCTGTTCTTAAGTTGGATTGTTCTTAAGTAGGGACGTTCTTAAGTAGAGGTTCCACTGTATATTAAATTTTTGTAAGTACAAACTTTATAAGAGTTTTATTATCACCCTGTTAAGTGAATATGTATTTTAACCAGCATTTTGGTATGATAATAAGCATGGGTGATTTGTGAGAAGAATTGAGGCAGGAGCCTGCTCAAATTCTGGGGTCAATCTCCTGTTCAATCCAAAAAGTACCCCTAATTATCTGTTTTTTAAAATTATGTTGTGAGTTACCTTTCAGTTCTAGATTTGGTAGAAATAGGGTATATCAAAGAGACAGAGATGCTTCTCTGAAACAGTAATACTGAATGTGTATTTTTTTTAACCACCCATACTCTGACAATCTAAAGAAAAACACTTGTTTTTCACCCTCTCACCTTGAGTTCCACAGGATTGTTTGGAAATGCTCTGTCAGCCATAATTGTGGCATGGTGTCTGATCCACTGGATGAGGTAGTTTACCATATTCTGGTATTCAACCCACTTGACTTCAACATCCTAGTAGGAGCATGTAATTGTTTGTAAGCAAGAAGAAAACTGATATCAAACAATTTAGAAAAAAATTAAAGCATAAGAAGTCTCAACCCAAATAACTGACAAGTTATTTCAGCTAAGTTCTTAAGACTAAACACCAAGACCACCAGTTTTTAAGCACAATACTGCAATGATGCCAGCAACCTCACAACATGCAACTGGCAGACTCCGCTTTCCAAGAACCTTTTTTTAAAAATCAGATTTAGTCCTGTGCTTTGTTGGCTACCAGCTTCATAGTCTCCAGTCGTGCACATATCAAACAATGTTCTTTTCTGATTTTAACGACTCAGAATAATTAATCCTTTCTCTTGACATTCATTTTTATGTGAAAATGTTTTAAAAATACTAATCTCTTACTTACATGTGCACTGATGCCTTCACCACCTTCAGGTACTTTGGGAAATGCATCATAAAGTGATGACACATAAGTGATTACTGACTTCTCATCAGGTGAAGAGACGTCAACATCTAAAAAAGGACATGTTGACATAGCTAATGTTTACCATACAAACTTCTAATTTCCAATACTATCTGAGACTATTGGTCACTAGTGATTCCATTCACTTACTCACCTTCGGGATCCAGAAGTCTGGCAACGCCAAGTTTTTCTGCTACAAAAAAAGCATGCTCTAAATTTGCAAGGTTGCTTTGAACAGCAACGGTATTCATGTCTATCAGGTCCGGCCTGTAAATCAAGAGCAACAATTCAGTTATGTTTGGGAATCAATGTGGTAGCAAGAATCTTCACTTTTTCAATAAGCTAGATATATGGACCTTCTTTATGTGGTTGAGTGTCAGAGAACTAGCTGTTTTCCATACCTGGGGGGTAATTAATAACATTCAGCTTTTGGAATGAATTCTCCCCAAGATCAAATCAGCTCAAATGTTTAGAGGCCATGCATTATTCTACAGAACATGCCTAATATATTTCTTGGAGCCATTTTAATTCTTTTTCTCAACTACTGCATAACCATGCAAACTTTTCTCTCAACTTGGAGTGGGGGCAAATTTTAATAGTATAAATGAGAATTTTTTTAGGATTTGCCTATCAATGCTGTGTGACTAGACCAACTCAGAAGAGCTTATTACTGTCAGTAATGAATAGCATAACAACAGCAAGAATATTAAGAAGACAGTTTAAGAGGTACACTGTCTCAACAGCTAGCAACTAGGACCAGGAGCAAGGAAGCAATAAATACTCTATGCACAAGTGATACAGTCATTACCTGAGGGGCTATATTTGCATTTATATATTAAATACAAGTGCACTTTAAAACAGCAGGATAGAGAAGATGAAGTAAAGAAAATGATATGAACATAAAAGAGATGAGTAACTAATGGTAATTTCAGTGTTCTATCCAATCTTGTGCAATCAAAATTCTGCTCACATATACAGACTTGTCCTTCCCATTCTCCCCAGGGCAGCCCATGTATGAAGAAGAAGGAGTCTGATTTTATTCAAAGGAGAGGAATTTCAGTCGAAAGCCACAACAAGAATTCAGAAAACTTGATATTAATAAACTATTCCTCTCAGCTTGATGTTACTTCAATTGTGTCTTCTCTTATATTTCAATTGAATGAGATAATATATTCAGCAGAAAACTATTTCTACCTTTTATTGATATTAACAGATATATCAAGAATTATAAAGAATTGTTAGAATAGTAACATTTTTAAAGAGCTTGTCATTTGTGCCATGGACATAGCAGTACAGACAAACGATTTATGTGAATTTGGGGAGAAAATATTTATTTCTAAAAGCATATGGCTGTTGTTTTCATTCTGTTGATTTCCATGACATTTCACACATGCCGATAGTAATGAACCAAAACATGAGATGCAAAATACAGAATGCTGCCTGTTAAGCTGCCAGCTTTTCAGACAAGAAAGGGCAAGTTGTTATACAAGCCTTGTCTGCTCATGGGAAACATGTCAACAAGAAGATACAAACAACCAGTATTTGACTGAAATCCAACAATTATAAAGCCTTCCTCTACAAGAGAGGGAATCAAATCTCTCTTTTACCCCCTCAACAAAATAATTTGATGAGTTGCAAAAATTGATCATCGTTTCCCTCTAAAAATTTGCACAAATTCATTCTGAGCATCTCACATGGAAAAGTTACTTTGGGTCAAGCAGGCAGTTAATACCCAGGTTCCAGTTCATGCAACACAATATTATATATTGGCAAAAATCCTATTAAGTTATACCTGCCAGCATAAAGAAGTTGGGGAAAATGTTGAAGAAATGCCACAAATTAAGATTGGGAGAGCAATTGCAATTATTTATGCTGACTTCTTAACTTGCAATGATTTGCCATAACATTTACACCGTGTAACACCAGTGGAAAAAATCAAGTGTTATGCTGTTGAGTGCTTGTACCATCAAAGGAAAAATCAACAAAGGGGAAAAGTTAAACTAGCTTCTGAATATTTCCCTAGAAGACAGCTACTTAACTCCAACAGTTTCTTAGCCATCCCTTGAGAAGAAGAGGGGAAAAATCCTTCTTCTTCTTGCATACTTTTCCTTCCTACCATGAATAGCAAGCACTGCACCCGACTAGATCTGTCATTAGTTAAAATTCATTAAAACGGTGTTCAAACATTTTGCAAACCAGCTTTTAAGTATTTGTTTAAAATCTATTTTTTAAAAGATGACTATCTGTAGCTTTTCATCTGCATATGGCCTAACCATATATAATCATCATCATCTTGAGCTGCCAAGTCAATTCTGACTTATGGCAACCCTTTTCAGGGTTTTCAAGGCAGACAATACTCAGAAGTGGTTTATCATCCCCTTCTTCTGGGTGTTTTGGAACTGTGAAGCTTGCCCAAGACCACATGGATTGAATCTGCTCACAGGAGGCAGAGTGGGGGATCATATTCCTAACCTCTAGTTCCGAAGCCAGAAACCTAAACCACTGAGCTATGCAGCCAGCCTAACCATAAATTAAATATCACAATTAATTGAAGAAAACACCAGGTTTATGTTTAGAGGCCAATGCTACTTGGTACTATTTACAAAAGCTTTGACTTATATAGGAGAATTATATTCTGAGGGGTATCTGCAAAAAGCATAAATGGCCCAGCCATTCTGAGTCATCCTTAACATACTTCTCAGGGAATCCTGGTCTTTGCAATTAGAAAAAGCCAGGGGAAAGGTGTGAATAATAATTTGAAAAATATCCTAAGTGCCACACCCAGAACAACTTTTCAAGTTTCCAGATACTTACTATTTCTGTTGGCACAGAAAAATGGCACATTTGGAGGCAAATTGTCCCCAATTAAAAGATTATCATAGACATGATCAGTTCTATATGGAGTTGCATGATTCAGCATGCAATTGATAATGTCTAAGATGATTTTCCAGACTTGCTGTCATATTGAATGTAGCACCTTAACAGCATCATCTTTCAAGATTTTAAATAGTTCAACTGGAATGCCATCACCTCCACTGGCCTTGTTGTTAGCCAGGCTTTCTAACGCCAACTTGACTTCACTCTCCAGGATGTCTGGCTCAAGGTCAGCAACTACATTGTCTGGGTTGTCTGGGATATCCAAATCTTTCTGATATAATTCCTCTGTGTATTCTTGCCACCTCTTCTTGATGTCTTCTGCTTCTGTTAGGTCCCTCCCATTTTTGTCCTTTATCATGTCCATCTTTGGGCAAAATGTTCCTCTAATATCTCAAATTTTCCTGAACAGATCACTGGTTTTTCCTTTTCTGTTATTTTCCTCTATTTCTTTGCATTGTTCATTTAAGAAGGCCCTCTT